CTGTTAACTGTTGATTTCAAGTGTTTCAGTTCTGCTAAGCCCCTGATCTCCAGTGGGTCTTAGTGCTTCAGTGTGCCAAGTCATTCTGGTCATTGTTGTTTCCAACCTTGTGGGAACACTTTGGTGTCGAAGACCTTGATTGGCCCACACAAGAGCTTTGGTCTCTACACTGTTGTTACCCTTTGGGATGAACTGGAACAAAGACTTTGAGTCAGGCTTTTTGTATAACACCTATCTATGTGTTCTACATTGGGGGGCTCAAGTACCCCCAAATCTTGTCCAAGAAATGAACTCCATACAATACAGAAGACCGTACCAAACCATCTATCGGTATGATGTTTTATGCCTGATTAACACAGAAAGATTTTTAAATTGATGGCTGATTTTCAAAACCTAAGAGACCCCACACATGACAATTAAAAAAATTAAAAAATCATAAAACGGGTTTGGTCCTACGGCAAAGATGACACCCCACACACACGAACAGATCAAGCGTTCAGATGTCAGACTGAAAATTTTGCGAGATCAGAGTAAATAACCATGGCTGACGATGAAGAAGCAATTGAGATAGTTTGTGGGCTTTTTTAACAGATACAACCCAAATGAAAAGACGTCTCCAACGTCCACCGGACTTTCTGGTGCACCATGCTAGTTCTTTTCTGTATTTTGGATTCTCCTCACGTTTCCGTCACCTCGCTTTCTGATTGGCTACAGGTCAAGGCCCTGTCACACTATGATGTTTTAGAAAACTGGTTAAAAATATCTGCCAGCTTCATTTTGCTCTCTGCTCCCCGCTCTTGGTCTTCTTCCCTAACATTTGATAGCTGTCAGTCAATCATTGATGGACTTGCCCACATATCCTGACAGAAGTCATGTGTCCACTTCATAATTACCCAGCTTGTTTTTGACAAATGTCCACGTATGAGCAACGTTCACGTTACGTGTGAACATGTATATAACAGACCTGGAACGTGCGCAAAACTGATTAACAGTTCCGCATACGGTGAAAATTCTGAGCATGTCCGTATGACAGCGGATGCCCTCTTATATTAACGTATTGGTATGTTATCCTAAAATTACACCCAAGGTCCATCAACGTGTTGTAGTTTTTTTTCATAAGTAGATGCCGTGCGTCACTGTGTGACTGCTGCTAACGTCGCAAGCGTGTGCCAGCGTGTTGGACAAAATGTTCAGATGTAGGCATACATTGTCTAAAATGCCATAGTGTGACAGGACCCTCACAACACGCTGGGATATCCAACATCTTGAATATCCCCGATTTCAGATCGCTTTGAAAATATTTTTAATTTTTGACAAGACTAAAACTTGAGACTGGAGTTGTTTTAAGATGGGATCAGTCCACTTTAGTTTTGGCTCCACTTCAAGTAGCTTCTTGTTAGTCCAGTCAAAATTAGACAGTAGTTCTTCAGACTGAGGCTATTAAAAAATTGGTCTATAAGAAATACGGTATTAATATTTAATAACTTTTCCCTAAAACCCCACTTAAAAGCTCTGAACCTTTATTTAAGTGGATTGGAGAGTAAGAGTGGTTTCTCTTACTGAGTCCCTGTTAGCTTCCTGCCAGCAACACAATGGTTGTAGGGCTATCAGATGTTTTCCATGTYGTGTGTCTGCTTTCTCACCAAGCCCCACCTTCATTGTGACATGTTGAAACAGACATGGCTTTTGTCTTTTGACCTCATTCTTTCAGTTGATCCTGTTTCGCAGCTCTCAGTTTATTTATTAAATTTTTTTTAATTTTTGCCTTTTCTGTTGAAAAAGTAAAAGCAATGCAGGCTGCTGGTGAGGATCATTTACAGCCAAGCAGGAGGTTCTTGCAATACAGTCGTGTTTATCCAAAATCCGGAAAAAACAGAAGGATGTAATCAACAGAAACAATCTCAGTAATAATGGTGTCTCTACRGCTGTGTGCCAAAAACTATATTTGGTTCTGTGCTGAAATAATTTCACATTTTATGCCTCGTTTTGCTCATCAGAGTGAATACAGATCTTAGAGGAGATGTAGTTCGCAATATTGTTACCCACTGCTGCACAAACATGTTTGCTYACAGTATCATTATTTTACTATTGGCAATATGTGCTTGCGATAAATGTTTAGAAGTACTGTGTGTGCATGATTATCACAGGGCACGGCTTTTTATTGGCCTCCGTAAATTCATAAAAGTTATGTTGCACCATTCTGTAACATTATTCAAGAAAAAAATCCTCATGTTGAAGTATCTTTACTCCAAGAATAACTCAGAGGTTACTTCAAATATATCCAGTGGTTCATGTGATATTTTGTTAACAGACAGGCAGAACCCATTATCACTTTCACCTGCAGTTTGCCWTTCTGTAGCAGGTGATAATTGTGTTTTTGCTGTAAAGCATTCATACTTTTAAGATCCATTTTTCCTTCTGTGTGTATTTTGTCTTCTGCAATTTTGGTGCTATTTCAACTAATTCTTTATCAAAACATTCAGCTCCTTCAGGACATTCCGGCTATAACCTTTGGTATTTCACCATTGTGTACTTTTTGAGATACTGAGCTGCCTATTTTATTGAAAATGAATGGAGTAATGAAATTCAACATCATGAAAATCCTTCAAAATAGTTATGAATCTAATAATAAATCTTTACTGTATACTTTTTTGTTCAGGTTCTGCTTTTGGAAAACTGTGTTAATTGAAGCTAATTATTTTCTAGTTTTATTTTCCCCTGCTTTTTCAGCTCTCTCTGAACTTTTCAGCCATTCTTCTGCTAATTTAAACTTTTTTTAATGCTTTCAGATTAAGCTTTTTATACTTCTTTCAGCTGCTTTCYGCTAATTTCAGCTGTTTTGTTATTTTAGCTACTTTAGCAATTTTTAGCTTTTATTTGCTAAATTCACCTTTTTATGGAAATTTCAGCTTCGTACCGCTAAAACAGGCCCTGTTCTTTGTTTACATCAGCTTTTTCAGGCACTTTTTTGTTAATTTCAGCTTTTTTTGGCTATTTTCCAACAAATCACTGAAAATGCAATTTTTCAAGTTAATTACTGGTTAGTGAGGGGAAAAAGTGACTAATCTACAAATTTATCAACTAATGATCTAGTATTGCTGTTTTTCACGTTGAGTTTTTGGTTTTAGGTCTAAGAAGCTGCTAAACTTGATCCAAAACATTGARCCACAATGTTTGCTTACACACAATGACACATGTCAGCTCTGTGACTACCACCATTGACTGTTCAAGCAGTTGCAAGTTGATCTTCCATGTTGCCTTGTTTTATTTTCATAAATRGAATACATGGTACATTTTTGAAGCAGTTTTAATAATAATTATATATCTTTGATGCATTTTTAGACTTGGCTCACAGAAGAGCTCATGTTCAGGTGTTCAGAGACACCTGTAGTGCTCAAAAACTAGATCTAAATAGAGAAGTCAGMAACGATGACATTAATTATGGAGAAATTGTGTTGCACAACTTTTTGAACAAGTTTAAAATTACAGCAGCAAGACTAGTCTGCTGAAGTTAGAGGGAGAGAAGTTTCTTTGGATTAATTTCTACCACCTCCTCTCACCTTTTTCTATTCCTTCTGTTTTTCACACTTAAYCCTGATATTTGATGGAGTTTAGTGTAAATGATTACATCCTGTTTCTGTCGAGCTATTGTCTTCTTTGAACTTTGAACTTCTTTGAGCCTGTTGCCATACACCCTTAGTGTTACTGGACCTCATGCAAGAACCGTTCGTACGCACAGATTTGTTCTTAAGT